AGGACCTGAATTCAAATGCAGCGTCAAACGTTCGACACTTACTAGCTGTGTGAACCTGGGCAAGTCACTTAACCCTAACTGCCTCATGCAAAAAAAAAAGAAATTAAGCGCCTACTAGGTATTAGGCAGTGCACTATGAACTGGGAGCATGGCAGAAAGACTGGGTAAGGAAGGTCTTGAGTGAACCTGGATTTGCAGTGAGTTCTCTAGGACGCTTGAAACTCTTGAAAGCCTGGCATGGAAAGAAACCAGCAGCCCACTTGGCACCAGCCCAGGCTGTGCTGGAGTAAAGCTTCTGCCCAATCTGCCAGGAGAAGACAGAAAGAAGATGTATCGCTCTGTTAGGCCCCCCCCAAAGCCCTGAGACCTCTAAGGATCAATTGTGGCATTCATGCCCTCTGCCTCCCCTGGCGCAGGCCGCCTTCGATTTCCTCAGCTACCCTCCCACGGCAGGAAGTGGAGACAATGAGGCTCCCTGCACCCAGGGCGAGGAGGTCATTCAGAGCCATCTCCGCCCTGGACATTACTCACGCTCTTCCTGGCCTGTCAAGGAGACAGAAGGGCACGGGGAGCATTTGTCTTCCTTTTCTGAGAGCTGCTCCTAGCAATACAGAAGGAGGTCAGGGCAGGATTTCCCTCTATCTCTCTCATTGCCAGTTAAAGGTGAGTCATCCTTGGCCCCGTGAAATCCATCTCATTAAGCCAGATGGCTCATTTGCTTTCCAATTACATTTAGTAATCACCAAATCATTGCTGCCAGCAGAGAAGGGTGGAGGGGGAAGATGGAGAGGGAAAAGGGAGGGAGAGGGCCCGTCACTGTCACTGTCTCTGTTCATTGTCTCCCACTTGGCTGGATCCACTCCCTTCCAGTTCTCTCTGCCTCAACCGCAGTCAAAGGAAATCTAGAGGTCCAGGGAGAGAGAACGTCACACTTCACAGAAGGCGTCAGCCAGTCTGGCCATCTCTGAGACAGGTGAATTTATGGGCACTCACCGAAAAAGAAAAAGAAACAACAGATCTGTCCAGCATGTTCCCTGCCCTATGCCACCACGAGGCCCAAAACAGGAAACAATCCTTCTCGTCACACATAAGCAAAAGTGGGGAAACACTGGAGCTGTCCTACGGACAGTGGATGGCCACAAAACAAGACTTCTTAACCGGGGGTCCATGGAGAGATTTCAGGGGTCTGTGAACTTGGATAAGATTTAAAAAAAAAAAATCACATCTTTATTTTCAGTCACTTCTAACTGAAATTGAGCATTTCCTTCAAGTACGTAAAAACCTTATTCTACAAAGGGGACAAGATTTCACCTGAATGGCAAAGGGGTCCAACGCAGACAAATGATTAAGAACCCCCACCCAACTGGGAGTAGCAGGAAAAACACCAGAAGACCTCAGCTCCAGGATCACATCCACTCTTTACTAGCTTCATGACCCAGGACAAGCCACTCATTCTCCTTAGGCCTCAGTTTCCCCACCTGGGAAATGGGGGTTTCACCTACCCTGTCTATGTGAGGGCATAAAAGTGCTCTGTGAACTGTAATACACTTATCATTATCACCATCATCAGCGTCGTTATCCCCTGGAACATAGCTAGAGATCAAGAAGGGACCTTAGAGGTCATCTAGTACAATTCCCTCATTTTATACAGGGGGAAACTGAGGCCCAAGGAGGGTAAGAGACTTGACCAAGGTCACACAGGTGTGAAAGGGCACAGCCAGGATTTGAAGCCTGTCTTCCACACCACAGGGCCTTGGTTGACATATGGTCGCCATACACTAACAGGCCTGGGGGGATGGACCAGAGGATTCATCAAGGTCAACACGAGAATTCAGTAAGGCAAATGGTAGGTCCCTACTTAAGCCATCTCCCGCAAGGAACCGTTTACTCCCTTTTTAGAGACCGTTAGAAAAATAGAACTGCATAGCCTCCCTTAGGAACACATTCTGGGGTTTGAATAACCCTCATGAAGGGGAAATTCTCTCTCAAGTTTAAGCTGAATCTCTTGGTCCAAGTATTATCTCCTCCTGCTTTTATTTTCTTGGTGAGGAGGGAGGGTCATGGAGAACAGCTGGGCGTGTCAAGGCTCAACGACTCTGGGATCTCAAGCTAAGCATCCCCTCCCTCCTCACCCATGCCGCCCATCCCCGCCACCTCTTGTCCATGTGTTCTAGGTAATTCCTTCCCGAGGGAGTCCAAACAGGCTGGTGGCTTTCCTCAAGATGTCCCAACACTACAGAGATGTCAGCAAGACCTACAGACAGTCCTGCCAGCCACACCTCACTGTTCCCATACGATGAGTTTTCTGGCCACACAGCACTCCGGTGACGTCCTTTATCCACAGCATGACTCTCTATTACCATTAAATCATTCCTTGGTTTTTCTCTTTTCCTCCTTAACCAATCCCCAGTTCCTTCAACTTTTCCCCAGAGTACGTACAAGCCAAGCTCTCCAACATTTCAGTGGCTCAATCCACTTCCCCTTTTGGCCTCAAACATCCTCTTCAGACATTTCAGTGGTTCCATACACCCTCTTCCCCCTTTCTGTCCCTGAAACATCCCTCTAAGTACAAAGAGGGTAAAAGTTCCTACACGGCGGGAAGGCCCAAAGAGGCTTTCGTGGCTAAGTGGCTTTCACAGAGGTGGCCAGACACAACGGAGCTTCCTTGGGTCAGCAACTCTGCAGCAAACTGTGAATGTATTGGGTCTGAGAAGCCAGTCTTTTGGGCGCCTTGCTTCTTCCCCCCATCCCACCCCTGCTTTGATTAAAGCAAGGGACGTGGGAGACAAAATGGACTCTGTTAAAGTCATGCCAAGGCCCTTTGCCAAAAGTCAACAGAAACTTTCAGAGGGTGGAAATCAGCCAGCTGGAGATCGGCCTGAAGAAGGTGAGCTGGAAGACAGACAGATTTGGCAGAGATGAAGATGCTGGAAGGAGCCTTTGAAGGCCATGGTATACAATCCCCTCATTCTACAGGCGAGGAAACTGAGGCTGAGAAAGATCAAGAAGGGACTTTACTGACCATCGGGTTCAACCCTTTAATTTGACAGATGAGGAAACTGAGGTCCAGGCTGAGTCAGGATTCAAACTCAAGTCTTCCCAACTCCAAGCCCGGCGCTCAATCCACTCAGCCACCTAGGAGCCGCAGGACAGAACCCAGGCGAGCGGGTCTAGTACTCTAGCTTACACTTTCAAATGAGCACCACTTGGACAAGGTTAAATTTCCAAGGGTTCTCAACACATACTGGTTTGGGTCTTAATGGAACATTCTGAAAATGCAAAATATGCTCAGGGAGTTAAAGGGAAGACAGAAAAGAAAGAAGCCAGAAAGCCCCGGGTAGTCTTATTCCAAACTAAAGACCACTGTCTATCTGTGTTCATTTTCACTCCCTAGATAGAAAGCTTGGACATTCAATAAGGGTGGAGACAGCAACATTGGGCCTCCATTTTTCCCTGCCTTCTGGGGAGGCAGCATGGTAGAGCAGACTGAAATGGGAGGTCCTGGAATTCACCTCCTGACTCTAGTGCCCACTAGCCTTATGACCTTGAGGGAGTGACTGAATCTCCCTGCGCCTATTTCTCTGGCTCTGTTTCCTCTGGCCTTGAGGGTCTCCCTCAGCTCCCTTCCAATCCTAGATCAATGATTACTGCTTAAGAGTTGTTGATCGTAGGAAGACTTGCATGAACTGATGGAGGAAATAAAGGAGAGATGGAAGTGGTGGGTCATGTTTTCTTTCTGACCCCCATCCATTTCCGAAAGCATGATTTTTTTCCTCCGAGAAATGGGGAAAGGGAATTAACAAACAGAAGCAGATTCACTCTCCCAGCTAGTGGATGGCCACAAAACAAGAATTCTCCTGCGTTTTTCCATCACCTCCTTCACTTTGGGCCCAGAGCTCCTTGGGTGCTTCCTTGGGGTGGCAGAACATGCCACTGGGCGTTAAGGGAGTCAAAGGACTAATTACTCCAAACCCCATTAAGAGGAAAAGAGATCTGGAAGAAGCAGCAAGCACTTCTCTTTCTGCGTAACAGGCAATTATTAGAAAAAAAAACAAGCCTTGTAGCTTGGGGTAGGTTCATCTGCCTGCGTGAGCGGGCCCAGCTGCAAAGGAAGTGTATCTGGTCATCAACTCAGATGACAAAAATGTACCCGCTACAGGGTCATCCAAATGCCAAAGCCTACAGCCCTATTAATAGCAGCAAGGGACAGACAGACACACACACACACACACACAGTGATGGAGAAGTGATAAAGGCTGGGGGAAGGGAGCCAGGGAGGAGTGGGATGGCACAGCCACCAACACGGTGGCCCAGAGTGATGATTCTTTCTTGTATTACAATGTCAAGGGCTCATATTCCTTAGAGGAAAGTTTTTGTCAGTTTTTGTTTTTGAAGTCCTAAGTAGAGAAGTCTTATTGCATATTAGATGTAGAGCTCGAAGACCCAGGCTGTCGGCCTGCCTGTAACATAGATTGTATGTATGATCCTGGGCAAATCATTTAACCTCAGTGGGCCTCAATTTTCCCATCTATAAAATTAAGGAATCAGACTTGATGGTCAATAAAATCCTTTCCAGTTGTAAATCTCTGACCTCATAGACCCTGGAGAAGTCACTTAACCTCTCTAGGCTTCAGTTTCCTCATTTGTAAAATGAAGGAATTGGACTCCAAAGACAGTAACATCCCTCCCAGCTTTAAAAGGATGGTCCTATAGCCCCTGGGCAAGTCCTTTAACTTCTCAAAGACCTATAACACCAAGACTGCAAGTCACAGCTTGGCACAGGGTGTTCTCTACACCAAGGACATCACAGATCCTTACAAAAATCAGAGGAACCCTTCCCATCACCCTCCCTGGCAGGGACGGGAACAATGACATCTTTCATGTAGATTTATCAATACAGGACCAGTCAAAACCAAATACCAATAAAACCCGCACAAATGGCAATTCTCCGGGCAGCTGAGAGAAGAGCGTCTGAAGGCAGGGTAAACCGGGCTCCTTACCTGTCTGGCCACCCTCCGGGCCTCCCAATAGGGCTTCGAGTCCTCCACAGCCTTGCCAATTTTCTTGACCAGTTCATCCAGTTTCACTGTCGCTTCTACCAGAACAGAACGGAATTTCTGGCGGGCATCCTGCAGCCAAGGAGATGAGAGATGCATCAAATACCATTTAGGTTTAAGAGGAGAGGGAAAGGGAGAGCATGGATGCCCTGCTTTAGGGAAATCCAATACAGGAAGATTTGGGTCTACAAGAAAAACAGAAGGGCTGTCCCAAGGAGAGGCGCTTCACCTTAAGCTGCCTGGCCCCAGAGGGCAGAATGAGGAGTGGAGAAGGTATGACCAGAGAGGTTAACTCTAGGCTTGATGTCAGGGAAAGCTTCCCTGCAATCAGAGGTGGCCCAGAACGGAGGGGGCTGCTTCATCCTTCCCTTCCCCAGGGTCTTTAACAAAGGCAATATGGCGCTTGGCAGCTCCATCCTAAAGGAGAAGCTTGTTCAAATATGGATTGTGCCAGATGGATTCCAATCATGAAAGGGACACTTCCTACGCCTCCCTAGAAGCAGGAAGGCTGGTGTCTCTGGGGGACCTCAAGCTTCACTCTCCTAGGTCCATCTAAGAGAGCAAACGTGGGACAGGAAGAATCAGGAGGCAGAAATCAGGGCGCTGATGAAGATCCAAAGGAAGGGCAACTCTGATCAGCACTGACCCTATGATGCTATTAAATTGGGAGAGGGATGGGGGAGGGGTGCGATTCATTCCTTTGTCAAAACAACCATCACCACCAAGCAAACAAGCCTGTCCCCCCCCCCCCGAAAACTCTTATTTGAGGAAAGAATTGACTGTGAATTTCTTTTAAATAAAAAGCCCCACTCTTACCCCACCTCCCCATTCAGAAGTAATAATAATGACAGATGATTGCGCCTTTATTGAGCTGTTTCTTCTCTGCTCATCTTGTTTCTCTCGGCAAAAAAAAACGGGAAGTTCCTTAGAGGCAGGGACCATTTCACTGAGTTGGGATCTGTAGTTTTTCACCACTCTTTGGGGAGGCAGTCCACATCATACCATGCTTACCATGGACAGCACCTATGTGTCCTACGCCAGGGGCTAGAGATATGACAAAAATGTAAGGCCCTGCACTCATGGAACATACAGTCTATCAGCAGAAAAAAACATGCACTTGTGCAATAAGTATGGAGAGAATGTAAGGAGAATAAATACAAGGTATGAAAATACAAGTAGTTGGGAGGGGCTAATCCCATTTATATTTCCATTGTCTATTCAAGGAACGTGGCTATTCTGTGCAATAAGGTACATCTATGGACTCAGGTGACAAAGAACGTACCCATCTCTTCTAGGCAGTAACAAGGTACAGATTACTTTGGTATTGCAGTAACAAAACTCCATGATCATCAAATTAAATTCAAATTCCTTTGGCATTCAAGGACCTCTACCAATGGCTCAACTGTCCAGGTTCACACCTTGTTATCCCTTCCCAGGACACACCCTAAGCTTTCCTACCTCCACCCCTTTGTTCACCTCCTTTTCCTTCCTCCACCTCTTCACCTCCGCTTGTCAGAACCTTCCGCTTCCTGGGCTTAGTTTGAATACTGGTCCTTTTGTCATGGAGCATTCTCTAGTACCGCTTTCAACTAGAGGCGACCTCCCCCTCCTCTGAACCTCCAGACCACTTTGACTTTGCCCTTCTCCCACAGACCTAACTCCGTTCTTTCTGACTTTCTAGGTATCTGTATTGTAATTATCTCATCCTTCTTCCTACATAGCTTCCATGAGAGCAGGGACACTCTTGTTCATCTTTATGTGGCCCACATGCCTTATACAGTTAACATGGAATTGTTGTTCAGTCATTGTGTCTGACTCTTCATGACCCCATAGACTTGTCATGGGGTTTTCTTGGCAAAGATACTAGACTGGTTCGCCATTTCTTTCTCCAGTGCAACCCCATCTTACAGATGAGGAAGTGAGCAAACAAGGTTAAGTGACTTGCTCAGGGTCACATAACTAGTAAGTGTCTGAGGCCAGATTTGAACTTGGATCTTCCTGACTCCAGGCCTGGTGCTCTATGCCCACAGACATAGAAGGAGGTGGTATCAGTTTCACTCAATGAACGAAGAAGGAAGCAGAAAAGAACCACAAAACACCTTGGTCCTTGGAGGGAGCCAACATGCTCTCCCCACACTGGGTCCCATACTCCTAGATAAGTAAGCAACTTTCTTGACTTAATTCTCCGGACTTTCAAGCCCTCCAGAACTGGGCCCTGCCCCCATGGGCATAGGGGCTTCTAGAGCTTGAAGGGTCCACAAAGACAACCTAGTTTAGTGCCATCATCTCACTCCAACAGATCTGGGATCTCAAGGATATCAATGACATAGATCACAACCCATCCACAGAGGCTCATTGGTCCTTTGTCTATGTCTTTCCCATAGATCCACCACGAGGGCTCCACACAACAGACTGGGGTTTCATTTTATAGTTTAGGAAATTGAAGTCCCACTGTCTCCCAGTGTCAGGTCATAAAACAAACATTTATTAAGCACCTAATATGTGCCAGAAAGGGCAGCTGCAGCGGATACAGTGCTGGGCCTAGAGTCAGGAAGACTTCTCTCTGTGAGTTCAAATCTGGCCTCAGACACTTACTAGCTGCGTGACCCTGAGCAAGTCACTTAACCTTGTTTGCCTCAGTTTCCTCATCTATAAAATGAGTTAGAAAAGGAAATAGGAAACCACTCCAGTATCTTGGCCAAGAAAACCCTAAACAGGTCACAAAGAGTCAGACACAACTGAAAAATGAATGAACAACAATAACAAATGTGTTGGGCACTGTGCTACATGCCCAGTATGCAGTATCTATGAAGAAAAGCAAAACAGTCTCTGCCTTGGGGGTCAGGTAGGTGGAGCAGTGGATAAAACACCAGCCCTGGAGTCAGGAGGACCCGAGTTCAAATCCGACCTTAGACCAGACACTTGACATGTACTAGCTGTGTGACCCTGGGCAAGTCACTTAACCCCAACTGCCTCACAAAAAAAACAAAACAAAAAAAAAGTCTCTGCCCTGGAAGAGCTAACATTCTAATGGGGAAGACAACATGTAAACAACCATGTACAAATAAGATAAAAATGAGATAAATCAGAGATAATCAATAGATGGAAGCGCTATTGTCGTAAGAGGTAGGATTTTAGCTGGACCTCATGACTCTAAGCTGACATCCTTAGGGCTACTCCGTGAAGAGATAGAATCCTCTTACAGATTTTCTCCATCTGCAAACAACATCCAGCCCAGGGCTGGACACATAGTGCTTGTTTCATCGAGTCTGACGACGAAGGTTTATTCAAGCTTAATCAAGGGCATCCAAATTACTTCCCAAGTCAACTGAGGCTGGGGAAGGCACACAATGGGGGGGGGGCATGGCTAAAAATGTCATCAGAAAGGGAAAAGAACAGGGTCCAAGAGGACCTTGTCCTCTGGACAAGGGCGGGGAGAGAAGGGAGAGAAGCTAGAATCTGAAGAATTTGTGAAAACTGAGAAACAGTAGCCACAAGGTCCAAACAGACAGGAGAAAAACTGACAGGAAGAAACTTAGATCTATGTCCAGAAGAAAACATTTAGGATGTTATCGTCTTGTGATTGTCTCCACTCTTCAAAAGTTGCCTCTCCTTTATTTGAGCTTTGAAAGTGCGGGGACTGGAGAAGATAAAAGGAGGCACATGAGTCACACAGAGCTGTTCCAAGGGCAGAGGTGTCAAACGCCACCTCCACAAAACTCCCGAGTGCAGCCTGAACTAGATTAAGATGTAACTAGGAAATATTTAATGAAATAAATAAAAGTGTAATGCTACATAGATAATGTTAACTTGCAATTTTCTTTTTTTTAAATTAATTTATTTTGATTTATCAACAATCATTTCCATAAGCTTTTGGGTTTTAAATTTTTATCCCTCTCTCGACACACACAATCTGATATAGGCTCTACATATACATTCCTATTAAACATATTTTCACATTAGTGATGTAAGAATTAGAATCAATAGGAGGAAGCACCAGAAAAAGGAAACAAAACACATCAGAAGAAAAAATAACTTATAATTTTCTAAGTCAACATGGGGCACAGGGACCTGTTTCTATCTGCCCTTGACATTACGTCTAGGTACTGATACCAACTCCATGTTATGACTTAAATGCTCTAAGTCACACAGTCAAACTAAGTCCACTTCAGAGACTAAAAAGGTACCTACACTCCATGAATACTCAGCCTTTAAGTGCTAAAGCGAGGCTTCCTGACCTAACGGGATCACAAATTGAAGCACGGCTCAGGAAATTTCTTATAAATTCGTGTCATTTTAGGATCAGTTCAAAGAACTAGGAACATTTAGCCTGGAGGAGAGAACCTTAAGAGGCAGGCAGGACATGAGAGCTGTCTTCAAGTATCTGAAGGCCTGTCCCATGGAAAATGGATTAGCTTTCTTCTGCTTGGCCCCAGAGGGCAGAACAGAAGCAGCAAAGAGGATAATTTGAGCTTGATTCCGGGACAATCAGCCATCCAGAAGGAAAATGGGCTGCCTCTGGAGACTGTCGGGCCCCCCTTCAGTGGAGGGCTTCAAACCCAGGCTGGAGGGCTAATTATTGAGCAGGATGTATTCCAGGCTCAATGGGTTCTGAGGTCCCTTTGGCCTAAGATTCCATGGCTTTGTGCCTTCTTATAAACTAATTCTCTCTGACATAAAACTATAACATACACAAGATGTGACAGTGACCATGCTATTTCCACTCATAACTCTCTTGTCCACTGCCCACTTTACACTAACTGTTGGCCCAACCAAGCATGGCTCCCATCTCCTTCCCTCCCTCTCATTCTCCTCTCACTCCTCCTCACTGCATTTCCCTTCCCCTTTGTGGTGACCTCAAAGTTCTGCCCGGTCTGGGCAAGCCTGGAGACTCTGACTGGTCACTCAGTGTTCCTGTGGTCACCTGGGCAGTAACATGGCGGCTCTTCCCACACACAGTGACAATATAGTATGTGTCTTCACTTCCCACATCACTTGATTTTCCAAGTGTCTTTCCCCTTACCCCACCTCTAGGGACTGCCCAAACCAATGAAGTCACTCTTAGGATCACT